CAAAATAACACAACTACCCATTTTTTGACCATTGCAGTTTGCTATGTACCAGGCCGGGCCGGGTAGGTTGTTCAACCATTTCTGCCCAATGGGGCACCCCCTTCTAGGCCTGGCCCAGTCACCCAGCCTAAACCCAGTTTTTGGGGCATTATGACCTACGAATTTTACTTGGTCTAGACGGCTTGGACAAATTTTTTTGACCTGTTAGAATGCCCTTCGGATGCAGTCGAGCCAAGACGTGTTTTACCCAAGGAACCTAGGTACATGCCTCCATTGGTCTAGGTTGAATCACTGGTTTTTTGGATAGCCCTAGGCAAGTAATTTTGTCACGCCCTGCTTCCTAAAATACTGGGGAAACGGAACGTGAACAAGCCCGCGACGTATTAGGTTGAGTAGAAATAAATAATAAACTCTTTCTACTCAATCTAATACGCTAAGCGTCAAAAATATAATAAACAAAATCACAGGTCCCCGATCACACACAACAAGAGTATAATGAACAACTCAGAATGGAAAAGATACATATCACAATAAAATATCATCCAAGACACAGAGTTGGGTCAAACACGCCCTCATTACAAAACGGTCCAACTAAAAATATAAAAATACATAGTCTAACAGAAATAAAAGGAAAGTACTACTAAAACAACTAAATCCAACACCAAACTAAAGTAAGGTTCTGCAAAAGAGATCTAGCGTTCATCAACTACTAAAGAAAGAAAAAGTCTAAGCTTCAGATTGTTCTTCTGATCCATCTGGAAGACCTTACTACTACAAATCCTCTGGCTCTTGTACTATCCCGAACTGAGGTTGTTGATCTCCTAAATCTGACGTACACCAGAGAAAAACAGGTGTACGTTAGCGTGTGTGTGACACACGGCAAGATCCCACAGAGAGAAATAGGAACGATCGAACGACCAAAGCAAAAACAGTGATAATAATAATAATAATATGCAAATGAATTACTAATAATCTAAATGCAATCTATCACTGGAATAAAATCACCAGAAGAATCTAAGAAAACCATCCAAGTGTCAAGATCACGCAGCTAGCCAACAGGGTAATCATCCAAGTATCCAAATCACACAACTAGATGGAATTAATACTTAAATACCTATAACTTGAGACGTAATACGTCGAGCGAAATAATCCAAACAAGGAAACCCTCATATATATACCTTATGTCTCAAATTGTAGATAATTAATTATTAATCCCGATCTATGTATGAACAGAAATACAACTAGTCTACATCTCATAAAACCAACAAAGTCCACCATAAGACACGCAAGCATACTATTCTTGTTTTACATGTTATTTGAATTGGGGAAGAATATTTTCATATATATAATCGGGTCCCCGTAAAGTCGTCCGGGGGCCGCCCTCAAGTCAAGTTTGGCTCTCCGGCCCAAGTATATATATAACTCACAATATCAAGAAAGCGCATATGCCTGTTTATATAAATGTTATATTCTTCGTCCAATTCCCCATTATATCCCCATATTTGTCAGTTTAATTAAGTAACTATACATGAAATGTCGTGCACTAGCCACGGAGTTACCGTGGAACGACTTCTATAAAAACTATGAAAATAACTGTGACCCATAACACGTCTGATCAAGAGTGCATCATCTAGTCAATGCTATAATAATAATAGTTAAGGAAACCTCATACCGGGATATCGATATCGAGGGAACTCGGGACTCCTCACATCGGGATATCGATGTCGAGTGAGTATAGCCATGCTTTGAAGCACACTTATAAATCATACTTTTAACAGAAGTCGTCTTCATGTACAGTCTCTCCTATTGGATAACAACTAAGTGATAAAATAACAAGCCTCCACACAACTATTCATGTCAAACAATCTCACACAAGAAATCACAATTTACACTATAACTAATCATGTTACAGTATCGAACAAGTTAAATACTATGAGTATAAATAAGAGTGCCAACGTGTCGGTATCATTGTAATATGTGGCAAACACAGGTAACATTCGCATATTATAATATAATGAAATAATATATATATAATAAGTCAATTAATCCTTTTAATTCTAAACTAATCTTTTCAGGACATTAACTTATTAATTCAGAATAATCCTTTACAAAATAAAATCCTTAAAATTTATTTCTTAATAATTCAAAATAATACTTTTTCCAAAATAACTCTTTTAACTTATTTATTTCTATAATGATTCAAAATAATCCTTAGAAATATTCTTTCTTCCAAAAACTTATCATAATTAATCAAAATCTAATTGTCAAAATATCCTTTCATCACATACGACTCAAAATACCTATCATACTCTTCTTCATGAATATCACTACAACAGAAAATAATATCATATAGTATCGTTCGTTAATAATCCCACGCAGGTTATAACATATCACAGTCTATTCTATGCGATCAATTTATAACAAATATAAATAATGAAATACAAGTCAAGGGAAGCAGGATCTTGCCTCGGTTGTTGTCGAACAAGTCGACGTCGGCGGCGCGGGTCGGATCCTACACGAGGGCACGGCGTGCGGGGAGAGCTCCGGCGACGTGTGAGATGAGCGGTGAGGTTGGCTGACGAGTTGAGGACGTGGGTGACGCGGATTAGGCGCCGGTGAACTGGTGGTGGTGATGGACGTCCAGGCCGGATCTGAGCGCGTGGCCAAGGCGGCGGCCAGGAAAGCTCAACGGGAAGAGACGAGGGCGGCGCTCGAGGAAGGAGCTAAGGCAAGGTTCGACGACATAGAAGGCGGTGCTGGTGCTAAGTCCAAAGGGGGAAGAGCTGGCCGTGGATTTGGTTACCTCAATCTCTGCGGTGAATGGGCGGTGGTTCTGGCGGTCAGGCGAGGGCGGCGCGCTGGCTGGACTGAGCGGACGGTGGGTGGAGGCTCGAGCGGCGATCTGGCGTGGCTCGTCGCGATCTTGGAGGCGTGGAGAGGTTTGAGCTCGGCATCGTTGGGTGCTGTCAATGGTAGGACGGTGGATGCGGGGCCCAGGCCGACGGGGGTGAAGGGACAGGCGTGGTGGTTTTTGGTGGCTGGGGGCGGTCGTGGTCGTGATGGGGTTCACAGTGGAAGCGTGGTCGGGTTGGGAAGAAGATCGAAGAGGAAGTTTGATGATCTGAGAGAGAGAGATGACCCCCCGTGAGAAGAGGGGAGAGAGATGATGGTTTAAATATTATATGTATATTTTTATAGGGGGAGTACGGGAGAGATAGGATTTGTTGTGATTTAGAGAGAGAAAAAGATTTGATTATGGGGAAGATTGAGAAAATATATGGAGAGAGAAAGTTTGAGTACGGGAGAGATAAGGTAAGTATCAACATGATTTTAGGGGATTGATTGGTTTTGAAATTTGAAAATAAGAGAAAATGGAAGGAGAGAGATTTGTGGCGGGAGGTAGGAGATAATTAGGGTTAGGGTTAGAGGTATATACACATAGATACGCATGCACGTGGAAATAATAATATCAATCACGATTAATAATACAAATCAAATATACTATACGTAATCATGATAATTATAATAACAATTAATCAAATAATATTACTAACAAAATATTAACAGCCAAATATTTATATATGCTAAAGTACTAAGGTGAATATTAATACAATACAAATAATAATAATAATAATAATAATAATAATAATGAATAACAATAATAATGGATGGCATATATTTATTCAATAATTAAATTATAATTAGTAAAACATAAAATGGTATTATTAAATCATAGAAAATTCTAGGAAATCAAGTAAAACATAAATACTTTTTTGAAAATAATAATTTAATATTTTAAATACCCGAAAAATTATTTTAACTAGTATTAAAAATTCATGGTCCTTACAAATTTACAGTCCTATGATTTGAACTTAATATTTCTATTTAACAAAAACATCATTTGGAAATCAAAGAGTGTAATAAAATGCTTATAAAATATCTTATAATGTATGTTGTTAGACTATAAAAATATAATCATCAATCTTCACCATAGCTTCAGAGTTTCAATGTAATGATTAGAAAAACTTAAGTTGGTATTAGAATAATTACCTAGATTTTGGCCCATAAAGTGAGCAACTTCGGAGTTTTGATGCTTCAAAGTTTTGGGGTTGTTGATGTCAGTTATCGAAGATGGGGTTTATTTGTGGATTGAAATGGAGTTAGAGTTCTCAAACTACTTCAGATGACTGACTCTTTTGATCAATGTTTTTCCCTGCACGTGAAGAACTCATGAGAGACCGGATTTAAGTTCTCTGGTTGTTCCTCCGACGATCAACTCATCGTTTATACTTGAGTGAGAAAATATAAGAGAAAATAGTGAGAGGAATTGTTCAGAGTTAAAGTAGAAGAGGTTACCTCATGCAGTACAACTTCCTTTTATAGCAAATCGGAAGGGCATAAAGGTAATTGTGGCCGAGTTCAGGCAGGCAGCTGACTCGGCAAGTGCCTTACAGGTGTCGATCATTGAAGAAGGTGAGTCATCAAATGTTTAATGTGAGGACAATAGCAGGTGTTTGGTGGTAACCGGGTCCGATGAGTCATGAAGACTATAGAGGCTAGAACAATGTTGACTCTGTTAGCGAATGTAAGACGAGGGTAGTTGATTATCGACGGGACACACCGCCTCTCTAGTCGTCTGGCTGAAGGCCGACAAACACTACCTTATTAGTCGGTTATGCAAGTTGTTAGCTAATATAAAGGGTCGAGTTACTGTTCAGACTACAGTAGTTATACTAGCATTGTTGTAATATAAATAATGATTATTTGAATCCTCCTATATCCTACAAGCATAGAAGAGTAGATTAATTGGCTATATTCCAACTGCCTGCAAGTGTATCTATAATTCTAAATAAAATATACTCGCAGTATTTGGAGGTCTTAATGGATATGATCATAAAGCACACCCTGTGAATTTAAATCGAATGCATCGCATTGGTAGGGACTTAAAGCCGACCCGGTACCGGGCGCGGGCGAGTCCAAATCTTACGTTTCCATTTTTTATTTGCTTCTTCACGCTTCTCTATGCCGCTATCTCTCCCTCTCTCTCTCTCTCTCTCTCTGACATCCGACGTCTCAACTGCACATGTCAAAGAGAGGAGGGGAGAGAGAGAGTTGAAATTAATCCTTTAAATAGATAAAGTCCAAAGTTACGAACGAAACCAAAACACGTTCATCTTGTTTTCTTGTACCCCCAAATGGCAAAGCTCTTTCTTTTTCTTCTCTCAATGGTCAACAACAACATATCCTTCCTCTTTGCTTCTTCAGAAGAAGTTAAACTCGTGAAGAAGAGGTATGTGATGTTCATCTCTTTGTTACAAATTTCAAAGTTTTTTTCTTTTTCTCTTTTGTTGTAATGTGAAATACTCTTGTTTTATAAACCGCTGAACAGTCAAACTCTTAATCTTGATTATCTCCATCTCAAGTCTAATTTTTTTTTCGGTGTAGCCTGTACCCAAATAACAAAAATTGAAGAAGAAAAGATTGAAAAAGGAATTCTGGGTACTGATTTGTTAAATTGCATTTGGTATTAATTCTTTTTTTTATTTATTTAAGAAACGCATTGCCTGTCCAGAAAAATTCAATTTGTATTGGAACAGCATATTTACGCCAAAATCAAGAAACCAAGTAAATCTTTTGTCACATTCTCTGTTATCTCGGTCGTTTTTATTTTTTTGGGTGAAAGTAGGAGCAAGGAAGCTGGATTAGCCCTTCATTGCTGGTGATTGGTAACTGAACTTGTTGTATAAACTTGATCGTTGATGTTAATTTTGTCTTGGGTTAGAATCACATTGCTGTGGATTGCGGCCTAAATCCTGAACCAAAAGTTTTCATCTTTAATCCTTTCATTGTCTCTATGTTATCAATAAACAAGGAAAGGATATGATAGATTTTGTACCTTGTTATTGTTTACCATAATAACCAAAGAAACTATAGCAATTTTCTCTTACCGTTTATCCAGCATTACTCTGTTTTCTTTTTTAGCTATCAGATACATGATAGCTGGATAGGTGTTCATAGAAAGGGGAGGAGCACGCTTGGGGCTGAAATGCACTCGCGAAAAACCGTTATTAATTTCTTATATTGGCACCTAATTATTTAGCATCATATTACTCACCATCGATGTATCCATTAGCCATAACTATTTTTATTGCCTCACTTTACTATCATACTCTTTGCAAGGAACAACTGTACCCAAATTAATTGCTTCAACGTTTTTTCCCCCTTCTTCTTCTTCTTTTGGTTTTATCCATTACAGATAACTAGAGACGAAAGAATGGGAGCACACAAACAGTGGTATAGAAGGGACCTGAGGGACAATAAGATGGCTGACGTGCCTGCAATGGAGAAAGAAGACATGAAGAAAATCGAGAAGATTTTGGGATATAATTTTGAAGACCGGAGTTTGATAGAAGAGGCACTGACCCACCCCTCTTTCTACTATCCCTTTAAGCCCGAAATCACTTATGAGAGATTGGAGTTTATGGGTGATGCCGTTCTCAATTGCCTTGTTGGCCGTTGGGTGATTAACATGTACCCGGAACTTGCCCCTGGTCCGCTGACTCGCCTTCGTGCTGCTAATGTTGATACTGAGAAACTTGCACGTGTGGCTGTTTGCTCTGGTCTATATCGCTATCTTCGGCACCAAGCACCACAGCTAGATGAGCAGGTATTAATATGAAAGGCCATCTATTATACTGTCTGACTTACTTTATTTTATGGTGGCTTATACCTTTTTATTCTTAGAATTTATCTAGGGATCATGATGTCTTCAAGCTCGCTATTTTGTATTCATGTAGTTCCTGCTTATCAAGGAGTACTATTTATGTCGTCTTTGGATGATGCGATTAAAATTGTAAATTATAATTATTATTGTATATGTTCTTGGTATAATAGCGACCTATTTCTGAACCGCACAGTGCACTTGTTCCTCACGCAAGAACACCTGAAAGATCTTTTGTCTCGTTCCTGTCAAAACAAATTGAAATCTTTTATAGGGTTCTGGTGCTGCATTCTCTTCTGTGGATCAAAATGCTCTGCCCATCTGTACTGCAAAATTCTCTATTTAGATATTTTATAATTGCATTCTTGCTGCTGCTCCTTTTGCTCAATGCTAATAAAGGAAAGTGAAATTTCTTTCATTAATAAGTCTCTAAACAGTACATATTTATAGAAGAATGTTAAACAAGGAAGCAAATAAGCAATGTAAATGGCAAAGAAACTACTCCAATACTTACCAAAGCTAATATCCATATGCACAGGAAAAAAAAAAGGACAGATGCAATGTAAGGTCCTATTTATCTACATAAGATGACCTGCTATTACTCTGATATACTCGATCTGATTATCCATAAAAGCTGTTTTTGTATTTGACATTGATTGAGTACATGATCAATCTATGAAAAATTACGTTTATAGGCTATTATATTGGAAGATTACTGGGCTACGTCATGCTAAGTCCGGTCTTTCAACTCTGACTTTAGTCATTTCTTTTAAAAGGAAAAAAGATTCGCAATTGTTATTTCAGATAGATGGTTTGGATAGTTGACTATGTATAATGCTCCGGTGATGTAAGAGGACCCAATCCAACTGGATGATGCTAATAACTGTTTTTTTGGGTGTATGAATGTCTATATTTGCTTGTGTATGCATATACATTTTTGCATGCATGATTTATTTTCATTAATACTCTGTCCTACTTTTTAGTGTTTCCAAATTGATATGTTTGCATCATACAATGTGTGTATCGTGTGATTTGTTCTTCATAGAGTACGAGTGATTCCTGGTTTAGATGTTGATCTCATCAGCAACAGGAGAAGAGAACACACCTAGACCTCTGTCACAAAATATAGTTACACACCTGTTATGTCCATTTGTTTCCATATTTCTCCTATTGAGAACAAAATGAGGGTAAACAGTTGAGATGGTTTTATCATGTATTATGGAGGCCACTTACTGCACAAGTTAAGGAGAAATGATATACTTGTAGTTAAAGAGGGTAAATAGGTGTAGAGGTAGACCAAAAAGAACTTGGTTAAAAGCAATCAAGTAGGGTAAGTAGTAAATGAACTTTGTATTGGTTTAGCAAACCTTTGTTCTTTCCACTCTCACTTATTGTTCCTCCACCCAACTGGGAAAAGCTAAATAGTACGATCCTGCAATACTACTATTTTCTCCACATTCTGGTTAGATATGAAATATGACGGCATACCAACCTCATCACCAATCTTGTAGTTATGAACCGTGTTATCCCTGTTTAGCTCTTGGGTCAATGTTCTGCCTGCAGAAATGATTATACTTCTTGCAGATCGCAGATAGTACGTTAAAATATTTATGCTTGTCCATTAAGCTTATTGGGAATAGCAAGTTAAATTCATTGAAATGTGCCAACCTTCTAAGTCCCACATCTTCTGTACTACTTCTGCGATGATTGTTCATGGAATTAAAATGTATATTAGTTTAATTATGTTATTTAATTTACTTATTGAGGCTGTAAGTTAACCGAGCATTAGAATGTAGGAGTAGAGAAGTTAGCACTAGTGCAAATTATTTTTTAGAATCTTATCATGCAAAGAGCTATACAATACAGCAGCTGGTCTCATATAGACTGCCTAGAGAAATCAGCAAACATCTCCATATGAAGGATGATCCCTGCACTAGTTGTCAACCTTTTGGCTGAGTCGGATCAAATCTGAACCAGAGGACAAGAGCAAGGATAATCCAGGAAGACACTGCTTAAAAAATTTATTTAGAAGATGCTTTTAAAATGAATACCTGAATTAAAGAAGAAACACATGGCACAGGCAGATCTGAGAGTATTGGTTGGTAGAAGTTTGTTCCATTAAGTTCAAACTACAGGAAAGTGCATCTTTGGCAACAACAAAAGTTATCGAAGTAAACATTTTTGAATGAGATAAGCAGCTGAGTTCAGGTAATTCAATCTTATCCGAAGGTGGAAGATTCAGTTAATATGATCAATTCCAATTGTTGGGTAATAAAGTTCACTTGTTCTAAATATCTATTAAATATATTTTCCCCTCCATTTGGTCTCCTGTTGTCCATTCTCTTGCTATGACAATCTAGGCTCCTAAAAGCATTGACTTTATCTAGATCTATAATTTTCATGCATATTGATCTTCCTAATTCAAACAATAATTCATCATTACAAAATTCTGTTTCTACTTTTCTTGAAATTTGCTCAAGAGTAGAAACCTACTGTTTGTACCTGTTTATTGCTCTCCTATAGCCACATGGATCACATACCTTGTTGAAGGTAATATGATTAAAAGATTCATACTGAAACTTAGAACCTTTGGCTAATGCAGGTAGCTCATTGTTCTAGCTACATTTATGTCTGGAATTCACCATAATGAAGGCAATAAAAGTAGAAGATCTTTCTGAGTTGTGTTGAATACATCATGCTTTTGACTACGATTATATGTATATCTTTCTGTCATCTGTGCGTCAATTAGAATTTCTACTCCAACATCTACGATAACTGAAAGGAACTTCGTCAAACATGCATTATAGTCTTTATCAATTTACATTTACACCTCAGACTTTGACAAAATCTCGTTGTTTTCTCTTCAGCTCAGCCTAGGCGTATCCTTCCAGTCATTAGCCTCTTATTATTTTGCATGTATTTTGCTTAATTTTGAGAATATCACTTTGTGTCACATTTATAGTTTCTTTACTATGCCATGCAAACATTTAAGAGCATCAGTCCCATCATTTTTTTGCATCTCCAATCATTGTTAATGAGGCGCGCGCCCCGGGCGCGGGGCGCTGCGGGCTGGGGCAATTGTGCCCCGCACCAGAGGCGGGACACTGCACGCACACGAGGCGCGCGCCTTGCATGCGCCTCTTGTGCGCCTTTCGTGCACCTCTTGTGCGCCTCGCACATGCCTCGCGTGCGCCTCACACGCGCCTCACACGCGCTTGACACCTGCAATCATGTAATAGACTTTTTCTTCTGTTTTTTTAAATACTTTATATTTACATATTTACATCATGTAATAGACTCTTTCTTGCTAGTTGATAATCCATTCTCCATCTTTTCATGTTTAACCTATAAAAAGAAAATAATAATTAGTAATTTAGTATACTTGTTTGTTAATTGTAACTTCCTTCTCTAATTAGCATGCTAACTAGAAAATTATGAACATGTAAATATGTAATTGTTACTTCCATTCTTCATCTTTTCATGCTAACTAGCAAATAGCAATTAAGAATGCTAACTAGAAAATTATGAACAATTATGTTTTTTTAATCATTTAATTATCACTTAAAAATACATATATCATATTTTAAATGAAAATACATTTTTCTTATTTGTTACTTGCTTGTTTTGTTTCATAGATTTTTGCTTATATTGGAGATTATCTTGCATTGTGATTTGTGGAAATTTATGAACTTCTCTATGTTATGCATGCTAATTAAGACTCATTCGTGAGTTAGTCGGTGAAATTATATTTCTTGGTCTTTTTATGTGACAATTTATAAACATGTTGCTTATATGCTTCTTTGTCTTATGTTGGAAAATATTAGTTTGAGTTGTGTGCCTCAATTCAATGAGGCGCGCGCATCGTTGTGCGCCTTGCGCATGGTGCGCATAAGAGGCCTTTGCGCCCCCCGCATTGCGCCTTGCGCCTCGATAACAATGTCTCCAATGCACTTGAATGGATTATACCCTCGTGAAACAGATTCACAGGCTAGTTAATTTATTATTAAAAAATAACTTGTAGACAATGCAAAGAAGGTTTATACTGAAGTCATAAAATGTCCATTCATAAAATTGATATCAAATGTCTGCTGCTTACTATTTTGTTCAATTTCTGCTCACCTCACAAGAAAGAACATCAAGAACTATTATTTATAGTAACTAATAAATGGTAAAAAAATGTGAAGTATCTTTTTATTACACTAAATGTTTAATAAAAAATTATGATTATGCATATAGAGTAACTATTATGAAAAGGAGAAATAAAATTAAGACAGAAAGCTAGCTTATCTCTTTTATACAGATGTATTAAATCATTTATACTCTGGTATTTTCTATAACTTTGTTGCATATCAAATTATTTCACTAATAGTATTAGTTATACCATCTTCTCCTTTAGCAGCCCTAAAGAATGAAGGAAATGTTTTCTTTCCTTTTGGAGCTTTAGTATCCATCAAACTTTGTCACCCTTACACGGTTTCAAAAATGACTGATACGTGTGAAGAAAGTATAATACAAGTAATAATTTCCAACTTCTATTGGACGCCAACAAGACTTGGTTTGACGTGTTTGTGCTTTCTAGTACGAAAATTTACCTTATCATTTCTGTATTTAAAGCTCGCCCAATCAAGGAACATGCTTTGGTAAATTTTTTTGACTAAGAAATAGTTGATATAGAAAATAGATTCATATTTGCTGCAGAAATTTCATGCAATATCTATTTTAGATACATATTAGTATGTATCTTTACGTTCATTTAACTCTGTGAAAGATGTTTGATTTGACGAGAAACATTTTAAGCACATGTAAAACATGCACCTATTGCTTCAGTGGCTGGAACATGGGACCGACATAAATATCTTGAACAATGTGAACCCTAATGCTTCAATGTTCTTAAGGAGTCATTTATTAGTTTTCCTGATTAGTTCACCCCCAATGTTCTATTAGAAAAGTAGGGAAGTTACCGACTCCTCCACGAATCTTGTCACTTTTCTAAATGTTACTATACCTGTTTAGTTAGGTTAATATTAATTCCACCCCTTTGCTTCCTTAGTCCATTTCCCAAAATCATCTCATCTCGGAGGAATTACAGTTCAGCTAGGCATTCAACTGCTTGTGGGTGTACAAATTTCCAGGAAAAATTTTCATAAAGAAAAAGTACTGCTAAATTTTCACCAACTCTTGAATGAAATCAGTGTATCTGTCTCATTATGTTGTCTTCTGGCCTCATTAAGTGTACTGTTTTTATATTCTTATATCCACTGAACCAGTAAATAAAAAGGAAAAGGAAAAGGAAAAGATGCAACTATTTTGGGTATTATTTGTACTTCATACTTCTCTCATCGTACCAATGACATTAGAATTCATATCATAGGTTATATGCCATTTACTTGTATCCAATCTCACTGTTAGTATTTTGACCTCCAACTTTTTTCATCCTGTGTCTGTCAAGAAGCTTCAATTCGTAACTTACTAATTACTTTTCTTCTCTTGGAACTCTATTGCAATTTTATTGTCATTATTGGTAATATCTTGTATTTATTTATTAAAATCTAACATCTAGATGTTGAAGATTATGATTTACGAACGCATCAATTAGTTAGAAATTTTCAGTTCTCTTTTATGAAATACATTTATTTCCCAATTATTTCACTAGATGAAGCCATTTGGAGCGCTACACACTACATAATTTACTTTTTTTATTTGAGTAGTACATTTATACATGTGAATTCATGTATATCTCATAGGTTTATTATTGTGTACAAACTGATTAATCATTCTAAGAAGTTTTTTTTTCTTTTTTTTTGGGGGCGGTTATCGGGGATTTATCGGATGGTCAAAATCCATATCGGATAGCAGATATCGGGGATATATCGAGGATAAGTAGTATTTATCGGGTGGCATTACCGGATGGTGATATACATAATATAATATTCTAAAATATAATCTAACCATACTTAATGAAATATAAACATACCAAAATGTAAATAATTATATTTAGGATCACTAACCAATAGTAGAAACTTGGGTTGGGTCAAGCTTAAAGTGCATTGAATAGGTGCCCGTTGCCCAAAATTAAAAGTCAAACCAAAGACCGATAATTCTGATTTTTGGGCCGACAATATCGATCTATAACTCACTTTATCGTCGTATTATCGGTGATAAATATCCAAAAACGATAACCTATTTAAAATCGAACTTATCATAGCGGAAGGCCCCCAAAACCGATAAATAGTTGATAATATCGGTTTATCGGCCGATATTTAAAACATTGACGTGCACATGCAGATGTGCACATGTGCATGTAGTTGCATGCATATACATGCATATCTCTCTCTCTCTCTCTCTCTCTCTCTCTCTCTCTCTCTCTCTCTCTCTGTGTGTGTGTGTGTCCGTGTGTGCTATGCCTCTTTGAATGTTGCTCGCAGCAACATAAATGTCATGCATTACTAATTCTACATAAGATTGCACTTCAGCATAGTATTAAGCTTTCCTGTTATAGTATCTGTATTTCATATTTTTGATGAAGCATAGTATTAAGCTTTCCTGTGTATGTGTGTGTGTGTGTGTGTGTCCGTGTGTGCTATGCCTCTTTGAATGTTGCTCGCAGCAACATAAATGTCATGCATTACTAATTCTACATAAGATTGCACTTCAGCATAGTATTAAGCTTTCCTGTTATAGTATCTGTATTTCATATTTTTGATGATTTTATTGCTCTTGTTTGGATGATGCAAAAATAAGTTGCTCGATACCATTCTCATTTTTTGTGTACTTCGTTCTGATGCTCTTTGTTGCTGTTCATTCTTGTTATGGTGAGGATAGCCACATGTTTGCACAAAATAACTTAGCTTTGACTTGTACTTGTTAGTATTTGGTGTTGCTCCAAGTTAAGTTTGTTGTTGCTCATGAAAAGCATTAACCTCTCGTCACACACTTTGTGTATGTCTGGCGTGATAAGTCTATTACTGACCTCCATTGCCTATGACCTCAGCTATCTACATGTGTACCCATGATCAGTTTCTTTGGTTGTTAGTTGGTTCTTGCAGTCTAGTCTTCAGGTTATTGATGCCTTTTTTTTTCCCTTTTTCCTTTGCTTTCTTTATTGTTAGTGCACATGGTGAAACAAATCAGTTATAGAAAAAAAATTCAGGGCAGTTGACGAGATTACTAAGCCTCACCAACTGCAGTCTGTTATCTCATAGTATAAATACAGGATTTTATTCTTCATTATGTTGATATTTTTGGAGGCTTATAATGGTATTATGTTTCATAAACCTATGACACGTAGGACACTTAGACCAACAAAAAAATGGCACTGACATACTACATGTGATACAAGCTCGTTAGTGTCTGACGATAACAAATATATATACAATTAGTAACATTTAACATTTATTAAACGGCATGTAATGCCTTTTTTGGTCAATAAAAGAATCATGTTTATCTTAAAAATATTAAGAATTCATGACATTAATTAGTGTGCTAATTCTCTCTTTTCCCATATCTAAACCCATAATGATTTTATATTTGTGGTCGAGGATATGGAGAATTGGAGAGTCAGAGTTGAGTTATTTGTTTTTACTGACTAATTTGCTATGTATTCGTAGTTGATCTTCTAGGGCCTAATGTTTTAACTTATTATTATTGTCCATGTTAATACAATATATTATATTTTCTGAACGTTGGCACATACAGATTCAAGACTTCATGGAGGGAATGAAGGTGTATCCAAATCATTCAAACGGACTTCTCGATCCTCCTAAAGTCCTTGCTGATATTGTAGAATCTATCCTAGGTGCCATTTTTATGGACAGTAAAAGCTCTTTAGAGACTGTATGGAAGGTACAATTTCTCATTTTACTCTCTATGTAAATATTTGTAATTCTTTTATATTTGAGATGAAACGTGCATTTGTGACATGTGGTCAGGCATTCAAGAGGCTAGCAGAGCCATTGATCAATCTTGAAGTATTAGGAAAGCATCCAGTGGCTGAACTACACGAACTTTGCCAGAAAAGGAAGTTGGACTTGAAATTCGTAAAAGACGGATGGACCAAAAATATGATTGTCAAGGTGTTGATCAACGGGAACATGGTGGGAAGCGCAACTTATGGAAACAAGAAGGAAATCGCCATGAATCGTGCTGCAAAAGTTGTATTGGATAGGATTGAAGAGGAAACTTTGGACCTATTATCATTAACTTGTGAGCAAAGAACACCTTCAATTGGTAGGAATCGTTTGTTTAACTTGCCGGCCCTCTGGAGTTGGAGAACCTCTCGAAGTTTGGTTGTAGGTTCATTGCTTGCAGCAGTCATGTTAAGTCTAATGCTTATGTTCAGTAACCATTGACCTGTTCCTTAGTAATGTAAATAAATATAAGAGGAACTAAAAGGAATATGTGGATGTTTTCTGCCTATTTCATTTAGAAACTGGTTAAAGTACTAGTTAGGTATCAAAATGCCTGTTCTTTGCTAATCATTTATATGAACTTGCGGCTAAAGCTCAATAATATAACGAGGGTTCAATATTTTCATGCAAGTATAGACTTGCTTTAGTATTACTAGTGTTCTTCATGGTTTAGGATATCGGTGCTAACAAAATTGTCTGGCTTCTTTAAAATATCGACGTCATTCTCCATCATACTGTTAAAAATATCACGCGTTTAAAAATATCACGACTTGCTAACTATATCAGTGCAAAATGCTCCTGAATTATGTTACTGTACTTGTTGCTGTTCGCAGGATCCTCATGCTTGTCGTATTATGTAAAATATGACTGGAAGACAAAAGGTAGGCCATCGTGTGGTTAAATCTTCCCTTTTGATAAATTGATACTAATTCAGGGGCGCCGCTGAGGCGGAACTTCCGGTTCCGTAGAACAGGGCCCCCCACTTGGGGGGCCCCTAATCGCCAACCAGGGGCGCTGCTGAGGCGGAACTTCCGGTTCCGTAGAACAGGGCCCCCCACTTGGGGGGCCCCTAATCGCCAACCGCCGTTCCGTCAAAGGCGGCGCCTTTCTCACCTCCTCCATCCTGAAGCGTCTTGAGACCATCATCGCCGTAGGACAGGCTCACTTGCTTTATCTCTCCCTCCCCCGCCCATTCCTAGGGTTTCAATTCCACCCCGAAATCCCTATTTTTTTCATTCAATCTCATCCCTGAGCCCTAGAATCTCCTGCTGCAACCTCTCAAGAGGGGAATCGATCAGGCCGCGGTTGAAGAAGAAGGACAACATGTGGAGCGTTGACAACGAGCTTGCTGAGAGTGAGAGGGAGAAGGAGAAGGAGAGGAAGGGGTCACCGTCTTCGTTTGGAAGGAGGAGGAAGAGGGGGAAGGCTGGGGGGAGGAAGGGGAAGAATGAGCTGGTGTTGATCTCGGCCGCAATGCTAATGGAGATCGAGGCTGTGTTGCAGACTCAGGTGAATTCTGTTTCCGTTTCTTGTGGCGCTTTTTTGAACTGTAATTTTGCATTTTGAACTGTAATTATCAGCTCATTCATTTACTGCCCGGTAGAAAAAAAGATTGTTTATGCTATGTTTGGTTTATTTACTTTCATGATTTAAATGGAAATAGAATATATAACAAGGCTTATTTCAACTATAATACTCCAATGATGTAGCCCCTTCTTTTTAACTTCTAGCTTTGATACTCTGAAGTTCTGCATTGTAAATTGGTACCCCAATGGTTTTGAACTGATTAATTCGACAATTTGGTACCCCCAAAATTCCTAGCTTTAGTCCTCTCTGTCTCCAACCTTTAAAAAAAACATGAAACTTCAAAACCGTGTAGTAATTCTTAATTTTATTCTTGATTGATTTTTCAATGCCAAATCAAGAACAAATAATAGGTTCTTTGATGGGTTGCAATGTGAGGAGAGGAAGAAGATGAACACGCAGAGGAATAATTGGGAGTTGTGTTATTTTACACAAAGATCCAGTTACTTTTGAAATTTGAATAAAGAGTATAAAACTCCTCATTTTTGTGTGTAAAAGTTGTTAATTTCTATACAAATCTAACTAATCATTTTCGACGAGTGGTTTATATGTGATCACTTTGTTAATGTACATGGTTAATGGTGCTAATTTTGGTTATTCCTTCTCATTCCATTCATGATCCAAGCCTCCTCCTCCCTTTCCTCCGCCACCTTCCGCCTTCACCGTCCATCACCTCCCTATCCTCCTCCCCTCCACCTTCACTGTCCATCGCCTCCCTGTCCTCCTCCCCTCCGCCTCAGCTCCTTCGCCTCCTCTCAGACCCGCGCTCATCTTGCATAGAACCATTGTTATGTCTTAGTGTTTATTTTAATTCTAGATATAAAATTTTCTTTCCATGGTTAGTACTACGTATAAAAACAATTATTAATTTCTTCTGAAGATTGATTAAGAGGCCCCGATTGAAATTTAGAACCGGGCCCCCAAATTGTCAGCAACGCCTCTGTACTAATTCATTGAGATAAGAACACAATGCAAATGAGTTAATATATTTTCTTTAGGCTATAACACCAATTTGGTCCCTGTACAGGGCTACGTACTAAAATTAGTTTATGTACTTTCTTTTTTCTAAATTTTGTCCTCACGCCACATCTCAGTTATTAATTAAGTCCTTTTCTAACATTTTGCTAAAACTTGTTTGTTAACTTTTGTTTATAACTACATTATCCTCAACGACATGGCAATTGTAGAGATCCTTGAACTTTTTTTTTGATCTGAAAAAACAAGGAGAGATTCCTTTTTCATAATATATATTAGCTTATCAATCAGTAAAATTTACAAACAACACGACTTTGTGAAGAGAGAAAACATGGAACTAATTGAACGATAGGGAGCGGACCTTGTCGTCACCTATCAGAACAAGAAACTCATGATTCTGCCCTCACAATTGATAAAAAAACTATATCACAAGGAAACTATCAAAAGAAAAACCCAAAGCATAGAGTTTGAGGAGCCTAGAGATACAGATCACAAAACAGCCCCTCGAGACCAAAAAGAAAAAAAAGATAAGAGGAAGACAGAGGCTATGCCTACTGAAGAAGGGGAAAGTCGACTGTCTCGCTAGAAGTTATCTCCTGCAACATCCACATTCTTCTTCTTTGCGATTTCCTGGAACTCTAGCTTAATGGCAGCCCTACGAATTCTTCTTGCCATTCTATCTTCATCAACCCCTGTCCATAAAAGAGTGTATCTTGCTATGTTAGAGACAATATTTTCAGGGATCCGCAAAACATCTCTGAAAATTAGGAAATTACGACTGTTCCAAATCCACCAACAATAGCAAGGTAACATAACTTTCCAAACTAGTCTAATCATAGGGCTCCTGCTCATATTAATGAGTTTATCCATGTGGTGAGACCAGAAATTAGTACAAATGTTAGGGAAAAGCAAGGACCAAACAGCACTAGCAAATTGACATTGAATGAACAAATGGTCTTGATTCTCAACTTCCTGATAGCAAAAAGGGCATCAGGGGACACCATTCCATCCTTTAGATATGAGATTAGCCTTGGTATTTAGTTTATTCTTGCTGACAATCCATGTAGAGATCCTTGAACTTAGATTAAAATGCTATTTCTTTTGGGAAATTACAGTAACCATAATCTATTATGCATGAATTCACACATTCTATTTCAATATTATTGAAAATCAATGACATAGATATCTCTAACATTAAAGAAGCCTCCAAAAGCTAGAAGCAAAAATGGCGTAGATGTACGCCATGCGTACATACGCTCTATTTTGAACACGCACCTAATTCAGCTGTTGCTGTTGGTACATGCTTATATGATGGTGTATTCCGCACTTTGACGCTTGAAATTCTCTAATGAGTAGGTTTTTGCTTCCCAAGATGACGTTTTCAATAATTGGTTTTTTTGTCATAATCATTTTGACTATGGAGTATCAACTGCAGGGAAGATGTCTCTGAGTTTATCATAAATCATCATCACGCAAAACTGAATAGGGAAAAAACTTTGAAGAAATCTGTTATAACCATTAGTGATGAAAGATAATCTCCATTCAATGGCGGACAAGTGTCACACATTATTCGTAATCAACGCTTTAAGATAACCAAAGGCCTCAACTCGCCGACATCTTACGAAGATGACTCGAAAGGCATTACATATCGACGACTTGAAAGACGTTACGTGTCGACGACTTGAAAGGCGTTACGTGTCGACCCCTGACTAAGTCGACTTTTTAATCACTTCACTCGACCTACTAATCGGCCGACATCTTACGAAGGCAACTCAAAAGGCGGGTACTTCTTGATCGCCGGACGAGTAAAAGGACGGCGAAATGCCTCAAGCCTCGAGCCCCCTCCCGTGCATTGGTGACCAATCACATCGCAATAAATGCCATTAAATGCATTATGGACTTCATCATTCTTCTGCTCCCCAATAGTCGCACACCCCCAATCAATTCACATTAAATACCGAAATGGCCTCTCCTCCACTCATTGGCCGCCACTTGTAAAGCAGAGGCTGACATGGCCGCCATCTCATACTCAGCCGAAGTTATCATTCTACCACTACTCAATATGCTTAAGAGCTATTGCAATTTATTTTACTTCTACACTCAAACAAATCACTGACTTGATCGTTTGAGGAATAACCGGGGAACCCAACCTCGGCCTCTTACGATTTTCTACTTGTGCAGGGAAGAACACCTTTCTCCAGAATCAAACATTTAAAAGATTAGGGGACCTTTGTTAACTTAAATCTTCCATTAAGCTGCTTGATATTAGACATCAACAAAATCTAAAAGTGATTCTACATAATAAAAAAATATATATGAGGAAAAAGCTCATTCACTCTATTCAGGCAAGGTAAAAATCCACTAGCTCTCAAATGGGCAATGCCCTGAACCCGAAGTTTATACAAATTTAAAACAAAAGCTCACGTCCCACAGTAGAACCATATCATGGTTCCTTAGGAAAACTGTCATGCCCCTGCCTCACGGGCCCGTTGGCGTGCGTACGTCGTGGAATCCACCTAGAATAACTTGATATTGGCTAAAACCCATTACCAAATTGCTAGCATTAGTTATTCTTGGGTTTTGGGCACATGGGCCCGTTGGCGCGCGCAAGTCGTGGGATCCACCTAGAGTAACTTGATGTTGGCTAAAACTCACTACCAAAATGCGTTGGCGCGCGCAAGTCGTGGGATCCACCTAGAGTAACTTGATGTTGGCTAAAACTCACTACCAAAATGCTAGCACTAGTTATTTTTCGGTTTTCCACCTAGAGTAACTTGATGTTGGCTAAAACTCACTACCAAAATGCTAGCACTAGTTATTTTTCGGTTTTAGGCTTCACACTAGTTCATGTGGGACTAAATTAGGGAGTGTTATATGTTGGGAATTTAACGCCTAAATCCCTAATGCAACAGAAACGCAGAATAGAAAAAAGTACACCAAGATTTACGAGGTTCGGCAACTGCCTACGTCCTCAGGAACCACACAGTCAATTTCTTATTAATCAAACAAGAAATTACAATTTAAGAGCAGATCAAATATGAGATCTCTCAAATGAACACT